TCTCGGCCGCCGCTCTTGATCGTGGGTTCTGAGCTTCTGGCCGTGGAGACGCATTTATTGCTCTGATAGTTGGTGACCTTTTCTCTCAAGCTGCAAGGATTCTTGTGAGAATGGCTACGTCTAATCACTCTGTCTTCTGTTGCCAAAACCTGACTTCAGTCACTTCCCACCTTCCCTCATGCATTAAATGCTTATTTGTGGCCAGTGGGTTTGCTGCATTAAACAGGCACTACTTCATTAAATGAAGCATGGGTTCCTGCTATCACGTGATGATCTGACTTTAATATTTCTGGCCGCGATTTTGCTCGGCCTCGGCCTCGGCCCACAACCGAGGCTGAGATGAACATGCCTTAGCGTTCTTCTTTTGTCTTCAGGAAGGCAAAGTACCTTGGCGAAACGCTACGTTTTAGCTTCTCGAGAAAGTGCTAGGGTTGAGAAAAAGGGCTCCTTCGGCCAGCTCATGGCCGTGATTTATTAGGCGCAAACAGAATGGGCATCATAAAAATGATCTCTTCGAAAAGATATCATATATATAGGTGGACAAAGTTCACCACAAAATGGGGCACGGTCTGGATCCAAACATAGTAAAGTCTGACCCCGTAAGGTACTTGCTCACAAGATCGGTGCTATCCGGACGTCTTGCACGTTGGCTATTGCAGCTGTCCGAATTTGACATCACATGCACAACTTCTAGGCCCATTAAAGGACAAGCCGTGATTGACATGCTGGCTCTATTTCTCGAGATAAAAGAATCAATGCTCTCCGAAGAGGTTCTGGGAAAGCTGCTGGAAATGGTGGCTGTTGTTACGGAGGAAGAACCATGGACCCTCTACTTCGATGGTTCTTCTACATCGAATGGTGGAGAAGCAGGTGTGGTACTCATTAATCCCCAGGGGCAAGCTATGGCCCTCTCATTCAAGCTAAATTTCTCATGCACAAATAATACGGCGGAGTATGAGGCTTTCATTATGGGAATGTCTATAGCAAGGGAGATGGGTGTAGAGAAAATTAGAATTATTGGGGACTCAAACCTGGTGCTGAGTCAGTTACAAGGGAATTTTGCTGTGAGGGAGGCAACATTGGCACCATATCGTACGGCTGCTAAAAGGCTTGTTAGTTCTTTCAAACAAATTGTGTTGGAACATATTCCGGGGGTTACTAATAGATACGCTGATGCTTTGGCTACTTTGGGGTCGAAGCTCTCGTTTGTTGAAGAACAACCCAACATTACTGTGATAAAAAAAAGTTGTGCCCGTAGTCGAAACGATGACTCAAGAGGAGCTGCTGGAAGAAAGCGACTGGAGGAAACTCGTGAAGGAGAAGATAGGCAAGGGAAGTGACATCAAGGAGTTAAAAGATTATGCTATCATCTTTGGGGAGCATTACAGACGCCTTCCAAGAGGAATTCTGACCCGCTGCATAGGAACGACAGAAGCACGAATGAAGCTTCAAGAGGTACATGATGCCACTTGCAATTTGGAACCGTTAATCAGTTTGTATCAGCATCTGCAACGCAAGGGTTATTACTGGCCAGAGATGAAGAAACAAGCAGCCGAAGTTCAGGCCAATTGTCCCCGGTGTTCAACAATGCCATCCATTGAAGAATCATTCACCGTCTCATTTGCGGAGGATTGGAGGGCTCCATACTTGGCATTCTTCATTGACGGAACTCTGCCAACCAATTCCAAGCATGCTCACAAGCTCGAAAAGACAATAAAAAGATACTTCATAGATGGGTCGACTCTCTATCGTAAAGGGTTCAATGGTGAACCATTAAAATGCTTGGGGGAGTCAGAAGCTGTTTTGGGGTGGTAGAAATCCACCTAACCCGGGCACAAGAATTAGCCGGGCACGAGAAGAATAGCGGCCGGGCCTTATTCAAATATGGCCGGACTGGACAATTCGAAAATTGCTAAAAGGGCAGCCGGGTTTTGTTCCAAGTGGGCATGGATGAAACT